GCTGTGTGTGGTACCATGATAATGGATACGACATTCTGTAGGAACAAGTGGTAGTGTTGGAAGAAGCATCAATATGAAGAAGCAAGGAAGGTAGATCTGTATCAAGACTAAATGTCAGGTAAATAGCAAGAACCATATGATTTTAACAATTGATGCAGAAAAGACATTTGACAAAGTCCAACAACTTTCCTGATAAAGGCACTCAGCAAAATTGGAATAGAAGGGAATTTCCTCAATATAGTGAAAAGTATCTATGCAAAACCATTTTCCTTGCAAATAGGGCCCAAACAAGGATGCCCACTGTCTTTTCAATATTGCATTGGAAGTACTTGCTAGGGCAGTATGACAAGAGAAGGAAAGAAAAGGCATCCAGATTGTCAAAGAAATGGTTAAACTGTCACTATATGCAGATGATACGATAGTGTACATAGAAAACCCCAGTGACTCAACAGGGAAGCTGTTAGAGTTAATAGGCCAATTTAGTAGAGTGGCAGCATATAAGATCAATATCTAAAAATCAATAGTATTCCTCTATAGTAACAAAGAGAACTCAGAGACAGAAATAAAGAAAGCAATATCATTTACAATAGCCAAACACAAATTGTGATACTTGGGAGTGAACGTAACTAGAGATACAAGAGACCTATACAAAGAAAATGACAGAACATTTCTGAAAGACACAATAAAAGACCTAAAGAAATGGAAAAATATTCCCTGTTCATGGATAGGAAGACTCAATGTGGTGAAAATTACAATCCTATCAAAGGCAGTCTACATGTTCAATGCAATCCCAATCCAGATATCAAATTCATTTTTCAAGGAGATTGAAAGAGAAATTATCAAATTTATTTGGAGAGACAAGTGACTCCAAATAAGCAAAACACTTCTGAGAAACAAAAATGAGGTTGGAGGCATGGCATTCCTTGACCTCAAAACCCACTACACAGCAGTGTTAACCAAAACAGCATGGTACTGGTACAATAACAGGCACATAGACCAATGAAACAGAATTAAGAATCCAGAAATAGACCCAGCTCTCTATGGTCAACTGATATTCGACAAGAAAATCAAAGCTACCTCTTCAACAAATGATGCTGGCAGAACTGGACTTCCATCTGCAGAAAGCTGAAAATAGAATGAATCCACATCTCACACCATACATAAAAATCAACTCAAGGTGGGTCAGAGACCTGGGAGTAAAGCACAAAACCATTACATTCATAGGAGAAACACTGGGCTCAAGCTTAGAAGCACTAGCCCAAGGTGTAAAGAGACTGCCAAATGCACAATCTAAAGAGGATAAAATTGATGCATGGGACCTTCTAAAGATTAAATCCATGTGTGCCTCCAAAAGTTTTTCCAACGGGGTGAAAAGAAAACCTACATACTAGGAACAAACATTTGGTAATACCATCTCAGACAAGAGTCTTATAACAAAAGTTTACAGAATACTCCTGGGTCTCCACAAGAAACAGACTGATAACCCAATTGCAAAATGAGCAAAATACATGGAAATAATTCTCACAGAGGACGATATTCAAATGGCAAACAGACACATGAAGAAATGCTCCAAATCACTGGCTGTAAGAGAAATGCAAATCAAAACCACAATAAGGTACCATCTCACTCCAGTAAGAATGACAAAGTTTAACAGGGCAGCAAGTAACAGATGTTGGAGAGGATGTGGTGAGAAAGGAACTCTTATACATTGTTAGTGGGATTGTAAAGTGGGGCAACCATTCTGGAAGGCGGTTTGGCGCCTTTTCAAAAAGCTGAACATAGAAATGCCATATAACCCAGCTATTCTACTACTTGGAATATACCCTGAGAATATGAGAACTGAGGCACAAACTGAGCTTTGTACACCAGTGTTCATAACAGCATTATTCACCATCGCAAGAACATGGAAACAGCCCAAAATGTCCAACCACAAACAAATGAATTGAGAAATTATGGTACATTCACACAATGGAATACTATGCAGCACACAGGAGCAATAACTTTGTAAATTATTACCTAACTTGGGAGAGACTGGAGAGCATTACGGTGAGTGAACAAATCAGCCCCACAAGGATAAGTAACTGACCCTCCAGCGGATTTTCAGAGGCTGTAAATCTCATGAGAGGAAATTACCTATTTTTCTCCCATTTAAAGATAGAGTGCTGCTGTACACATTTTATGGTTTTTGTGGGTCACAAATACCCACTTCATGATGAGGAATGCATCTTGGTGGCTCATAGTTAGATGTTTAGTGTCTTCTAAGACCTAGTCGTAAGTCTAAAAGTTGTTTTTCAAAAGACGAGTACATACATGTGGAGTATGGCAGGGCTCTGCTCCTATAGCTCTTCTCTGGGCCCTGTCAAAGACTCCACATAGCGTCTGTATCTGCCACTGACTCTTCACTACTGGATCAGTAGGATCATATGGCAGAATGCCTTGCATAGCCACTAAACCTGTTACAGAACTCTGAGCCCTGCTCAAAACTAGAAGCTTTTCCAATCACTTAATAAATAGGACATACAGTAGTCATTGTTGCTATTAGGTTCCACTAAGTTGATTCTGACTACTAGTGTTCCTATGATCAAAAGATTGGAACTTTACCTTATGCTCCACCATCCTCTTGATCTCTGATATGGTCTAGATCATTGTTTACAGTTACTGTGTCATTTCATCTTGTTGTGGATTTTCCTTTCTTTCTCTGTCCTGTCACCTTTTGGGGCATGATGTCTTTTTCAAAGGATTGATCTTTCTTGATAACATATCCAAAGTATGTGAGATGACATTTCACCATCTTTGCCTCTAAAGAGTACCCTGGTTTTTCTTCCTCCAAGACACACTTGTTCTTTTGGCAGTTCATGGGATTGTCAGTACTCTTCTCCTGCATCACAATACAAAAGCATACATTTTTCTTCTGTCATCTTTCTTCATTGTCCAACTTTCAGATGCATAGAAATCCATATTTATTCCCACTCCCCAAAAAAATGACCCAGAAGAATGTAGAAATTGTTATGTGCCTTCAAGTCGCCTGCAACTCATAGCAACTCTAGTACAACAGCTCTGAATTATTGAATGATATTATTAATATCACATACAAGCAAAATGTTGATTAAAATTATTAAAATAATGAAAACTCCAGTTGGATTCAGAAGAGATCATGGTATGTTATTCATGTGTAATTTCAAATCAAAGTTGAAGACATTTCAAACAAGTCCCCTGGAACCAAAATATAAACTTGAGTTTCACCCAATTTAATTAAAACAATATCAAGAATAGATTTGATGCATTGAACACTAATACCTGAAGACCACGTGAGTCTATATTATATGTTATAGGATAACATCAAGGATATTATCCATGAAGAAAGCAAAAGGTCATTAAAGATAAAGAAATGGCCAAAATAGATGTCAGAAGAGACTCCTGTAACTTGCAGTAGAATGTAAACAAGCCAAAGCAAAAGGAAGAAATTTTGACATAAGAGAGATGAATAGAAATATTTTCAAAGTACAGCACAAGAAGAAAAGCAAAGTATTACAACAAAATATACAAAGAACTGGAGGTCCAACCCAGGGAGGAAAACTGGTATTTAAACAAACTTGACATGCATAATATAAATCCTATTGTATGGGTCCTTAGAGGCAGGAGAAGGCTTATTTGTGTTACTGGGCTGTGTGGATCATAAAAAAATTATAGAAAACATTGGGAAGAATTGGAATCTCAGAAGACTTAATTTTACTCACGTGAAACATACATAGAAGCAGTTGTCTGAATAAAGTAATAAAATACTGCATGGTTTTAAATCAGGAAAGGTGTAAGTAAAAGATGTATCCTTTCTCCATACCTATTCGTTCTGAATGCTGAGCAAATCATTTGAGAGGCTGGACGCTGTGAAGAAAAATGTGGCATTAAAACTGGGAAAAGGGCAAGCAGCAGTCTGCATTATGGAGATGTTACATCTTTGATTGCTGTTAGTGAAGAGGATTTGAAACACTTGCTGCAGAAGATCAAAGACTACAGATTTCAATATGGATTACATCTCAATATGAAGAAAATAAAAATTCTCACCACTGGACCAATAGACAACAACATCATGGTAGACAGAAAAAAGTTTGAAGTGTCAACAATTTCATTTTACTTGGATCTACAGTTAACACTCATGATAACAACAGTCAAGAAATCAAAAGACATGTTGCATTGGAAAAATCTGTTGTCAAGGATCACTCTGAAGTGCTAAATATCAGGATGTTAGTTAAAAGACTGAGGTGTGCCTGATCCATTTGATGACATGTTCCGTTACTTCCTAAAGCAAATGTGCTTTGCCAGGATGTTTATATTTACTGAATGCTTGGGTAGATTTTGTCCTGACTATTGCTGCACACAGTTGTTGGTGAGACCACACTTCCTCTACTCAACCCACCCCTCACACCATTCTATCTTCTCTTGACATCCTCCATGATCCCCTTTATCATCTTGAACAATTAAAAATTTTCTTATACTCTGCTTTCTCTCTCTGGTCTACTTTCTTTGCTGTAAGTTCTTTCCTCTGTCTGGGCAGCCAGCTTCTCCAAGAAGTCTTCTCTGACTGCCCAAGACTGGATCTGAGAAGTTGGAGTCTTGAGGGATTACCCTGCTTGGCTCCCTTTCATGTTTAGCAACCAGTGTGAAAATAGAGCCCTTAGTATGAGATAATTTAGGAGACACTCTTGTTCTTCAGACTGTCTTGGAAGCCTTTCTCTTCCTGGCTGTGGTCCCCAGTGAGCATGTCCTAAATTTTTCCTTTTGACTGAGCCTTGGATAGATAGCAGGGGCCTCAAGATATAATGCACTCAGCCCTGCCTTTGAGGATTCCAGCAATCGGAGGTTTTCTAATCCTGGATAATACTGGCCTGCAGACTTCCCAGACCTTGGGTTTGGGATAGGGAGAGATCTGTGGTATGGCAAGTCGACATTCTCAGTTTTGACAATTTTTCTCAAGGGATTCTCTTCATTCTCTTCCTTGACAGGTCCTCCAGAAGCTGGGCAAAGCAGATGAAACTAAGGATGAACAATTTGAACAGTGTGTCCAGAATTTCAACAAGCAGCTGGTGAGTATGGGCAACCCCAAGTCTTAGGGAGCTTGGAAAAATGGAACAGTAAAGAACTAAGTAGATGATGTCAGGAGGAGTTAGGAGACTTGAAGATGAAGGGGGCTACTGCAGGCTGATGAGGTTGTGGGGGGCTTCCCAGAGGAGAAGACGTTGATGTGAAAAGATGTGGTGGAGTGGGAGTTCACTTTAGACCCATGGTAGGACATAAGAAAGGTGGTTGAGAAGGTAGCAGGGAGGAAGAACAGGTCCTAAATTGTAGCCATCCTATGTAAACCTATGTCAAGGCAAAAGAGAGCTAAAGGAGCTTCCTGTGAGGAAAATGACCTCTGCAGGGTTTAATATTGAGTATCCTTACTGGATTTCAAATAAGAGACCACATGCAAGCAAAATACTGCTGAAGATCATTAAAAAATGGCTAGAACAGTATATAGATAGGGAAATGCCAGAAGTTCAAGCACAATTTAGAAGAAGCTGTGCTACCAGGGATGTCATTGCTGATATCAGATGTATTCTGGCTGAAAGTAAAAAATACCAGAAGAATGTCTATTTATGCTTTATTGACTCTGCATAAGTATTTGACTATGTGGATCATAGCAAGTTATGATTAACATTGTGAAGAATGGGAGTCCCAGGGTACTTAATAATGCTTATGTGAATACCCTATACCTAGAACAAGAGGCTGTTGTGTGAACAGAGTGAGGGAACACTTTATGGTTTAAAATTAAGAAGAGAGCTTTTTGTTCTTTTCCGGTATCCAAGATGTCGAAGTGAGGACGTGGTGGGTCCTCCAGGGCAAAATTCCAGATTTCCCTGGGTCTTCTGGTAGGAGCAGTGATCAACTGTGCTGACTATAAAGGAGCCAAAAATCTATATATTCTTTCTGTGAAGGGGATCAAGGGACCACTTAACAGACTTCCTGCTCCTGGTGTGGGTGACATGGTGATGGCCACTGTCAAGAAAGGAAAACCAGAGCTTAGAAAGAAGGTACATCCAGCAGTGGTAATATGACAACGAAAGTCATACTGGAGAAAAGATGGAGTGTTTCTTTATTTTGAAGATAACGCAGGAGTCATAGTAAATAATAAAGGCGAGATGAAAGGTTCTGCCATTACTGGACTAGTTTAGTTGCAAAGGAGTATGCAGACTTGTGACCTGGGATCGCATCCAATGCTGGCAGCATCACATGATTCTCCAATGTATTTGTTAAAAAAAAAAATAAGATGAGAATGCATTAAAGTTGTGTTCTCTCTTCATGTTTATTCAATCAGTATGCTGAACAAATTATTCAAAAAGCTAGACTCTATGAAGAAGAATGTGCCATTAAGATCAAAGGAAGACTCATCCATAACCTGTGTTATGCAGGTGACACAATCTTGCTTGCTGAAAGTGAGGAGAACTTGAAACATTTGTTGCAGAAGATCAAAGAATACAGTCTTCAATATGGATTGCATCTCAATGTCAAGAAAACAAAAACTCTTACCTCTGGACCTATAGGCAACATCATGATAGATGGAGAAAAAACTTGAAACTGTCCACAGCTTCATCTTAATTGGATCCACAGTCAACACCCTTGTTACCAGCAGTCAGGAAATCTGGAGACCTATTGCACTTGGAAAGCCTGCAGTCAGAGACCTCTCCAAATTAGGAGTAATCATGTCAGCTTGAGGACAAAAGTGCCTCTGATTCAGGCCATAGTCTTTCAGATCACTTGCTATGGAGTTGGACAATAAATAGGAATGACAGAAGAATTGATGCCTTTGAGCATGGCATTGGAAAGAGTACTTAACATCCTACAGACTGCCAAAAGAACAAACCAAACAAATATATCTTGGAAAATGTGCAGCCGGAGTGCTTTTTGGAGGTAAAAATGATAAAGCTTCTCTTCACAGACTTAAGGCAGGCATCTAGGAGGGTCTTCCTTGGACAGGGACGTAATGTTTGGAAAGGCAAAGGATCAGTAAAGGAGAGAAAGGCCCTCAGGCAGGTGGATTGACACAAGTCCTGCCACAATGGGCTCTAGTGTGTCAGGAAGTGTGAGGATGGCACAAAGTTCAGATCAGTTGTTCATAGGATCATTATGGGTTGTACTTGACTTGATGGCACCTAACAACAACAACAACAACAACAACAATATTTAGGGAGCTCTGACAGCTTGTTGTTGTTATTTGTTGTTGAATCAACTGAGACTCATAGTGACCCTATGAACAATATCCCTGAACCCTGCCCTATCCTGAGCTCATCTTGCTGTCTCCAACAAACCCACCCCCTCATTATCCAGTTGTACTGCCAGCACAAAGGTGTGCATGGTCCGTCCATGGGAAAAAGTTGGGCAGTCTCCTCTCATTCAATTTACTGCTTCTGAAAACTCCCTAAAGGATCAGCTATGGGTCAGTGCTGACTTGACAGTGCATACTGGGTTTGGCTTGAGCATTCCCTGAATGGAGGCTCAAAGCCTTTTTTGTAAATGGTCTTTAGACACCACAGAAAATCAGATGGTATTAGCATTTCTGTTTTGTAGATGAAGTAGTTGAAACTTAGAAAAGTTGGATAGTTTTCTCTGTTATATCTAGCTTAGAAAGTAGATTCAGGTCATATGTTTCTGTTTACAGGTCCAGGAAGGGTACCTATCAAGGTATTGTTATCAATAGGACAGAAAACAGTGATAGAAAATGCTTATTATACATGGTAACTGCCTGAGATCAGTGGTAGTTGGTTACAAGGGAAGACTTGCAAACCAAAAGATTCAGAATCCACCACTTGGGCTGCCTCTAAAGTCTTTCCTCACAGAGATCTACTAAGTCTATAATGAGTCACTTCTGAGGCTGTATCTGAGTATAATGGGAGGTATACTACTGAGATTGCCCTGGGATTCTTCTTCCCTAGAACGGACCAAAGTTGCAGGGAGTAAGCAGTTGCTGGGTCACTGGTGTTGGAACAGGTCAACCCCAGTGAATGAACAATGGGGGGCAAGGTCAGAGAAGGAGGCTATAAGGAATGTGATTGTGAGGGGGGAGCGAGGCCTGGTGCCAAGTTCTCTTCAGAGATGGAGCAGGGATGACCCCAGATTGGGAATTATGTGAGTCCAGGTCTCTTTGCATGCCTTGTCCATTTCAGAGGCCTCAGAAAGCACTGAAGGTGCCTTCCAAAGCCTCTGTAGCTGAGCTGCAGTGTGGGGCAGGGCCTATAGGTAAATTGAGTGCTTGCTGGCCAGGGCCTATAAGCCTAGAGGGCTGGGGCATGCTAGGAAAGGTCTCAGGGACAAGTCCATTTTGCCTGCCTGAGAAACAGCTGGAGACTCCCCGGGGCTGGGGTGGAGGGCACCATGACTCCCTGTCTTCTAGGCCAGTATTGGGAGACATTTCCAAGCCCAGGTAATGGCAGAGGTGTCTGCTGCCTCAGTGGTCCTGGACAAGCCCTTGCCCTACACCTAGGTTTCTTCACCTGTAGAATTACAGGCTTGAACAGGTTACCCAACGCCTCAGTCCTGAGTTGTGTCCCCCCACCTCCCAGCTTCCTCAGTTTGAGGACCTTGGAAGGTATTGATATTCTTGTACACTTACACTGAACCAGCTACTGCTATACTCTTCACAAGAATAAACCTCATAATCTTTGAGGGAGAGCTTCATTTTGCAGAGGAGGAACTCGACACTCCGAGAAGTCAGTAATTCTTTCAAGACCACACAGCTGGTTTGCGTGGTTTGGGGATTTCAATCCATATTTGTCCTCTTTCAAGTTTCCTCTCGAGAAGACTCTGCAATCCTGAGGGCAACTGTCTGGGTTGGGAGTGACGACACTGGGGTAACAACTCTTCCTGACCTTGGGCTCCAGTCCTCGGGTAGTGATGGGGGAACCTCCCTAGAGCAGCTGGCTTTTTGGTGAAAGCCTCAGAGTGAAGCGTTCTGTGGCCTAGCCTAAGAGCAGTTCCTTTCTCTGCTTGTCTTTAGAGTCGCCTTCTGGATCCCTGGTTTCTGGTTCCCCCAGGTTCTTCTGGGCAGAGCATCTCTTGCAGTTTGATAGCGGTCTGGGCTAATGAGAGCCAATGCTGTTTGATTCCAGGTTTCTCTGCTTAGGTGTAGTCAGGGGAGGATTTTTAAGTTGACACTGTGTCTCCAGGTTGACTAGATTTTCAAGGTTGGCTAGTTACAAGAGTAGATAACTCTGAGGTCTTATTTCAGATTCTGGGATGCCCATCCCCTGGGCAATGCTAGATGTGATGGTGTGTGTGTATGACTGGGCTTGGGGGCATCTCTCAAGATTACTATTCTTATTTTATTTTATTTTTAATTTTAATTTTTGTGTGAGTGTACCATCAAATCTGACTGGTACAGGAGGAGCTTGTCCCTCCTTCCCCGGCAGAGCATCTGGTGGATTCGAACTGTGTGCCTCTAGGACTGTAGTTGCAGCTCCTTACCACCAGGCCACCAGAGCTCCCCTAAGATTACTATTCTTAAAGGAATTATTCAGGCAGCTACAGTGGACCCACTTTGAGCCAACCTGCAAAGTTTAGAAAACCTGGGAAAGGTGAGCTGGTTTGATGTGGAATGATTTAGAAGCTCAGCTTTCTTCTTCATCATTACTGTGAACACCAAGCATAATGAGCCTGGCACTAGTCAAGGGCAGTAATTTTGTCTATGAGGAGGTAGGTCTCCCACTTGACTATGGGCAGGGCCTAAGAGGAGGTATAGGTCACCCCCTTCCAGGGCCCACTCAGTGCTGGTCACTGTCCTATGCTGAAAATGCCTGGAGGGCTTACTTGAACCCCTGGAAGCTGCTAGGGCTTGTAGGCTCCCAAGGTTATCATTGCTGCTTGTTCATTATTGAGCTGAGGCAGTTCTTCCTTCATGTCCCAAGGCTTGCCCAGAACAGTGTTTACTAAAAGTGGTTGTCAGAGAGAATTAATGTGAAGATGCCACAACACTGATGACAGAGGGGCAGGGAGGAGTCAGAGCTGGAGCCAGCACCTGCTGGGAACGTTGAGCTTGAAGGGCCCTTTGCAAGTTGTAAAGTTGGGACAGAGGAGTCCATATCCCACTTAGAGGATGTGTCAGGCATTGGTTTGGAGTTGGATATGCCCTAATTTCTGAGCGCCTGAGCTGGAGGAAGAGGTCAAAGTGTGTGATAAGTCACTCCAGAATCTAACTGTGCCCTCAATTAACTTTGCAAGGGACATAATTAGAACCCCTGGGGGCCTTTACAGTTGTTTCTCAGACCTCAAGATCCTGTTTGAGTGACCAGGGGCCAGTTTGGAAGCCAGCACACATCATCTGGAGGCAGGAAGCAGTGAGGGAATCCTAGCAGGGCGGGCTGACTGAGAGCATGGCACCGGTGGCCAGGGTCAGTACTGGCCTGCACATCTGTCCTTATGTGCCTGCTCACAATGCAGCCTTGTCTAGGAAACAGAGGGGCCCTAGTGTGGCCCAAGCCTGTGTGTGCATGGCCACTCACACCATGGGATCCCTCACAAGGGTGTGGTGCAGGCTGGGGTGGAGGTGGGGAAGGAGAAGAGGTAGAGAGTGGTTGGTTGGCTGGGATGATGGAGGCAGAGAGAAAAGCTGAGTCTGGAAGATTCCATGACATCACATGAATATAGTCGTATCACATCCAGAATTCTTTAATCTTCATCTTAACCATCAAAATGTTTAACTGCTGTGAGCTGTGGGCACTTGTGAAATATACTTTATTCATTCTCTATTTTCATTAGTCCCTAGCTCCTGAGAAGTTTGAAATGCTTGTGGGCTGTACTTCTTCTGGTCTTTTAATTTTTTTTTTTATCGTGAAAATATGCAACAGAAAATATACGGTAACTCAATATTTTGTACATGTACAATTCCCTAACATTGACTAATTGTTCACTCACTGTTCTTCCCAAACCATTGTGTCACCATTAACATAGCATAGCTTCAATGCCCCCAGGCAAACATCCCCACCCTCTCCTACTTTTGGGAACCAGTAACAATCTTTTCCTTCTCTATGTTTCATACACATGAGATTATAGACTATTTGTCCTTTTGTGATGGACTTCTTTTGCTGATGTTGTCAAGGTTCATCTGTCTTGTGTTACAGACCACATTTTGTTTGCCCACCAATCTATTGATGGGCATTTTGGCTAATTGTGAAGATTTTTCAGTGAACACTGGTGTACAGGCTTCTGTTTGTGTAACTAGAATTGGCATTGTTACTTCATGCTGGTTCTGTGTTCAGCTTTTTGAAGAACCATAATGCATTTTCTATCATAGCTGTACCATTTTACCTTCTTGCCAGCAATGCATGAGGGTTTCAGTTTCTCTATATCCTCTCTAACACCTGGCTTTCTGTTAATTGAACCATTGCCATTCTGAAAGGGATGGTATCTCATTGTGTCTACCTTCAAAGGTTAGATCAACGTTCGTGAGGATGATGCGTGCTCAGGGTTTGTGTCCTTTCTTCTATGGAATTTCTTTTAGAAAGAGTTTTTGGACTTCCCCCCCACCGCCTTTCTCTCCATACCTCTCCTCTTTTTCCAAAAACATTATTATACAACATCTTATATGTTGGTTTAAGCCCTCTCCATGCAACTTCTCTGCTCTTATGTGAAAGCATCTAGTATGGTAGCATCTTCTTGTAGGGCCACAATGAATGAGTAACCTCAGGAGACAGGTTCCTTGGATGGGGTAGGAGTGGGGATGCTGCTTGTGGTCCTCTGCTCCATGCCAAGAACACAATCTGGCCCCTATCTGTGGACAGAGGGGAGCCTCCATCCTCCAGGCTCTGGGATCAGGTCCAGCTAAACAATTTTGCACAGCTCATCTTTCTGATTCCATTCAACGATCTGATGAGGTGGGCCTTGTTGTCCTTACCCCTTCTTTCCGATTTCCCTCGATGAACTAGTGAGCTGTGCCTTGATGTCATTACCCCTTTCTTTCTGATTTCCCTTGATGTACTGGTGATGTTGTCATTACTGTCTTCTGGGGAGGCAGCGAGAAAGCAGCTAGCTCTGGAGCTGCCAGGAGAGCACCGGGGCTTGTTCCTGAGGGAGCAGCAGGAAGGTTAGTGTGGAGTGGGACAAACTACGTGGCCTGACTATGTCCTCCTCTTTCCCGTTGCAGACTGAAGGGACCCGACTGCAGAAGGACCTCCGTACCTACCTGGCCTCTGTCAAGGGTAAGAGCTCTGGAGCAGACCTGGCTTGGGGGCCTCTTCACTCTCTCACAAGCATTGTTTTAGTGAGGGGTTCTGCCCAACTTTGCCGAGGACTACAGGCTGGAAAGAGGCAACAGGGCAGGTCTGTGCTGATGGACAAAGGTTGCAAACCAATCTCCCCTCCTCATCCTTGACCCCAGACCACTGGGGAAGATGGATGGGGAAGGGAAGCTTTTTATTCCATCCCAACAGCCCTGCCTGCAAGATGGTCTTTCTCTGTCCACAGCCATGCATGAGGCCTCCAAGAAGCTGAGCGAATGTCTTCAGGAAGTATATGAGCCCGACTGGCCTGGCCGGGATGAAACGAACAAGATTGCTGAGGTGTGTGGACAGTGGCCTTTGCTTCCACTGAGTTATTTCTGACTTTCCCTTTTCTTTTCCTTCTCCCTAGTCCCTGTAAGTCACCTTTCTTTGCTAAGGGTCCTTCTCTGAAGCACTTGATGCTCAGCTGGACTATTGGTGAGGATTACGTGGAAGGCAGAACATGCTGTTTTGTTTGGTTTTTTTAAATTATTATTATTTTATTGAAAGTTTACAGAGACTTTGGATTTCCATTCATTCATTCATTCATTCATTCATTCATTGTTACACTTTTCTCCCTGACCACCCAAACACAAACACCCCTTCCCCCAGTTCACTCTTCTCCTTGAAAAGTAAAAGAAAAATTCTTTCATTGTTATACAATCCCTCTCCCCAAGTCCTCTCCACACTGCAGCCTTTGTTCTGGACTCCTGTCATGACAATAATACCTAATCATATATCCCTTTTAAACAGTTCTTTCCCTCATCTGTTTTAATACAATATACATAATTTATCCCATCTTTCTAAGTCTCCCCCAACCCGAATGTCAGCCTCGTTTTACAACAGTGACACTATGCAATGTATGTGCTTTTGTTACTAAAATATTTCACTCAGCATAATGTCCTCCAGGGTTACCCATTTTGTATATTTCATGAGTTCTTTGTTTTTCAAAGCAGCATAGTATTCCATTGTATGAATATACCACAGCATCTCTAGCCATTCATTTGTTGATGGGCACTTAGGTTGTTTCCAACTCTTTGCTATTCTGAACAAAGCTGTGATAAACATGAGTGTGCATATATCTGCTTGGGTGATGGTTATGGTTTCTTTGGGGTATATTCCCAGTAGTGGAATTGCTGGGTCAAATGGTATTTCTATTTCCAACTTTATGAGAAAGTACCATACTGCCTTCCATAGTGGTTGCACCATTTTACACTCCTACCAACAGTGAATAAGGGTTTCAGTTACTTCATAACCTCGCCAGCATTTGTTTCATCTGTGTATTATGTCTCATGACTTGCAAAATGTCACTAAGATCTGGAATTCTATGATCTTTGCAGTCATCTGTGGGAGGTTACAGAGGCAGGACCTGGTACTCCACTTTATAGGGGAAGAAACAGGCTCTGAAAAGCTGCAGAGTGTTGAGCTGTGCCTCAGTTCCCCCACTTTCTAACCTTCAGGAAGTGAAAGCTCTTTGCTGCTCTTTGCTCTTTCAGAACAATGACTTGCTGTGGATGGATTACCACCAGAAGCTGGTGGACCAGGCACTGCTTACCATGGACACATACCTGGGCCAGTTTCCTGACATCAAGGTGAGAGGTAACTCTTTGCCACTACTCTGACCTGCAGCTGACACTAAGGAAAATTGGAAGGAGAAGAAAGACTACTAGGGTGCAGCCTACGGGTGGGATGGAGACTGAAATAACTGTCTTAAAGGCAGGCACCTCTGCTGGACTGTCATTTCATTCCTCCTTGAGCTCTGGTGGTGTAGTCTAGGGGCCTGGGCCACTAACACAAAGCAGCCCTTCTCTGCTTGTTGGAATCCACCAGGGGTGATCTCTCATGCGATTGACAGGCACCCAGAAGCCCCCTAAAGGATCAGCTATGAGTTTGTGTTTTTGAATTGAGAGAGAACATTTGCTCGTAGGTCAGCCCTCCCAGCCTCAATTCCCAGATCTAGACCCTCCTGCACCGAAGCTTCAGACCCTGTGTGTCTGCACTTTAGTCCTGAGGGAGGAGAACTTGTGATGTGTATGTATGTATGTACTTGGTGTGTGTGCAGGGTGTGTGTCTGTCGTGTGTATGGTGCATGTGTATGTATGTGGATGGGGTGTATGTGTGCATTAGTGTGGACTGACTGTGATTGTGTGGTATATCAGGTGTGAAGGTGTATGCGCCTATAGACCACCTGAGACTGTGTGATTTGCATGCGTCTTTTTTAACCTGGATGTGCTGCCTCTGATGTGTATTCAAAGAACCAGTTTGAGACCTGGGTACATGCAACAGTTGTGAATGTATAAAGCTTCCATGTGGTGAATGGGTCCTAGAGAGTGCAGCCTAGAGCAGAGGGTCACCTACCCTTAACAGGTGGCACATGATGGCCTCAGATCCCAAACTGAGTGGACAGGGCCTAAGGGCAGGTGGAGAGGGACTAGTTCTTCGTAGCAGTGCAGACTACACTGACAAGCAACAGGTTAATATCCCACAGGAATGGTTGACTTCTTCAGGTGAGCACCTAACCACCAAGGAGTTCATGTCCTGGACTCATGGTGTGCCAGAGAGGACTGTCATACCCATATGCTGTTGCTCTGCCCCATCTCCATATTCACCTGCTCCTCAGAGCTGTGAGCTAGCTTCTATAGGCCCAGCATGGGCTTAGCATGGGTGCCAGGCACTGTTCAGACCCCTACCTGTCTATCCCTTCAGTCACGCATTGCCAAGAGGGGGAGGAAGCTAGTGGACTATGACAGTGCAAGACACCATTATGAGTCACTCCAAACGGCCAAAAAGAAGGATGAGGCCAAAATTGCCAAGGTACAGTGGAGGGCTGGGGGTTGAGGGTGGAGAATGGAGTCCAGGGTGTGAGGATTGAGGGTGGTTAGGCAGGTGGTCCAGCTGCCCTGTCTGTACCCACCCACTTACTCTGCATGCCTGGTCCCCCTGCTTCCTGGACCGCAGGCCTCCAGGAGGCATTAGCCACATTGACAGAGATGAGACTACCAGTTAAAGGTTGCAGAGCCTGGGAGGGAAGGTGTGAGGGGGTGGGAAACGAGGGGCTCTGCTTTCATCCTTTGTCCCTTCTACCTGCTCAGAGCTGGAGAAAGGTGGGCAAAATCCTCGCATGTGATTTTCAGCCTCTGAAAACCCATTGGAGAGTCAGCTGCGTGTTCTGATTGGATGGCCCACAACCACAACCTCCTCAGAGGTCACTCTCCAGAATGAGTGCAGATCCAGCTTGTGTTTCACTGGAATGGTGTCTGCAGGGCCCAGTGTGTCCTGTGTGCACAATAGAACTGCCCTAGTCACCCGGGGCAGGACAGCCTGCCAGGCAATAGACAAAGCGAACGATTCTTACACTTTACCTTTGCAGCTGGAGCTCACCGTGCCCTCCCCACCCTGGTTGTGAGCTCTCCTGCATTCTCTCAGACACCTGGCACCTCCCAGGGGGTGTCCTGCTTGTCACTGTGTTGGATTTTACGTTTAATATCTGTGTTTTTCTCTCCCTCCTTTCTCTCCACCATCCTTTGCCTTGACCTCCCTTCCCCTGCCCACTGTCAGCCTGTCTCGCTGCTTGAGAAAGCTGCCCCCCAGTGGTGCCAAGGCAAACTGCAGGCTCATCTAGTAGCTCAAACTAACCTGCTCCGAAATCAGGTGACACTGACTTCTAACCTTGCATGTGCTGGTACTTTCTAGTCTGTTGTCCTATACTCTATATCAGGTGTGTCTGCCCACCGGCCCACTCCAGCTTGGAGGGGGTCAGTCTCTTCCCTGGGCTGGGGGACTGGACTGGTCCTGACGCTGGGCCTCAGGGCTTGCCCCTGCCTGAAGGCAGATGTGTAAGACCAAAGGAGGGTCCAGGGTCTGCTCTGCCTGAAGACCGATGTGTAAGACCAAGGCCCTGGGTCTGCTGTGCCTGAAGGCCCATGTGTAAGATGGAGGGAGGGCCCAGGGTCTGTTCTGCCTGAAGGCCAATGTGTAAGACCGAGGGAGGGTCCAGGGTCTGCTCTGTCTGAAGGCCAATGTGGTAGGGGTGCGGGGGTGGGGCAGGGAGAGGGGTACAAGACAAACAAGGTCAGCTCTGTACCTGTGCTGGCAGCAGTCCCTGCATTCTCCATGAGATCCTGTCTCCAGAACAGAACCACAGGGGGTTTTGAGTTGGCTGTCTTCCTTGAAGGCTTCCAAGGCAGGCCCACTATGTCTCCTGTCCCTGATGTGTGTTGTCCTGAAGCTCATTATTTTGAATTTTGACAAGTTCCCAGGGTTGTTATTTTAGTCTCAAGTTCTTGAACAACTGGCCAGACTCTCAGAGGTCCTGGAATCTGCAGACTCAGATGTACCCCTAGGGGAGATCTGTGGACCCCCACTATGCCCCTAGAGGGTGAAGGTCTTCCTTCAGTCACGAGTATTGAACCCACCGGTTGCTCCTTGGGAAGCAGATGGGCAGTTGTCTCCAGTAGAGACTTAGAGCTTTGGAATTCCACTGAGGTTCCTCCAGTGGCACAAGTGCCTTGATTGATACCAGTGGGTTTTCCTACAGCCAGGCCAGGGCGCTGAGGCCTAGAGGCCTGTCCAGGAGTTTAGAGGTCTAGAACAGTGGATCACCCCAGGCAGGGCTACCACCCTTGCTGTTCTGAATTCTTCTCAGGACCCTGCTCTTGAAGCAGGTCACAGCCTGTGCACACATGGCTGACAGGACTGCTGGAAGTAGTGGGACAATCCCCACCCCCACCCCCACCTCCTGCCCACCTCCAGTTGACACTGACTCAGGTTTCAGGTCACTAGAGACACAGCCTGACTGAGATGAGTGCCTTTCCTATCCCAGGGCGGAGGGCTGGCCAGTTAGGGGTCAGGTTTCTCTGGGCAGCTGCATCTCTTTTCATCTGCCTTTCAATTTAGTCATCTTTTACTCATGCATGCTGAGTACTGAAAGCCCTAGGGAAGGTGCACACTCAGCCCAATCTCTTACCTGATCTGCTGCCTGGTTTCTTCTAGGCAAAGGCTGTGGGCTAACTTTGGAGGCATTGAGCAGTTGATAGCTTTACCCTGAGGTCAGGATGACCCTGAGTCTCAAGCGCTGAGGGAGCTGGTCAAGGCACAAGTGTCCTTGATAGGTCTGAATTTTCCTCAGCCTCGGGAAATGAAGAGGGAAGGGCTGGAGTGGATGACTCTCAACTCTGGCATTTGGACTCCTCGCTGGGGAGGGAATAAAATTCCTAACTGGAGTCATTGTCTTTGCTTATTCTTTTCCCTGTAGTGTCATTGACAGGAGGCTGGGTGCCTTGTTTTCTGGTGGGTAGGAGCAGCCCTGAGAGATGGATGAGTGCCACTGGGTGCCTCACTAGCTAGAGTAATGAAGGCAGAGGTGGACCGCAGTGTCTGGGCTGCTGGGCTGTAGATGTTTTCCCTTCTCCTTAGTTGGCTGTCCCAGTCATGCCCTGTTTTTTGTTTTCTTTTTTAGCATCTCTTCCTTAGGCCCCTGCCCCTGCCTCCTGGCTAGCTGGAACCTTGAAAGCCATCAAGGTTAGCCCATGGATAGCATGGGAGCTGGGCCCCCAGTGCCTGAGGTCTTCTGTGGGTTTGCTGAGGCTGCGCTCTTAGGAGCCGGTCTTGCTCTATATTTGCCAGAGTCTCCTAGCGTCTGCTTGAACAGACTCTGGAGCCCTGCTGGGTGAGATGGCAGGCTGCATCTGGTCTACTCTCCCTGTCTTAGCAGTGACAGTCATGGGGGTGCCAAAGCCTCCCCCACACAAGACAGCTTTCCTCTCACTCCCTGCCACTCCCATGTGCTTGTGGGAAGCATTGGGAGTAAAAGATGCAGGCCCTGACTTCCAGGAACTCAAGTAAAGCCAGCCCCTATTTGCAGTGCTGCTGCAATCCATGAGTGTAGCCCATGGAGATGCATGATTGGTGACTTTTGATTTCACTGTCCTTTCCTTTCTTGGCATCTTTCACTGGTGCAGTTAGGATGTGAGTTAGGAGTGAGGTGGTGGCTGCACTCACAGAGGTCCAGCCCTCCTGAGAGGTGGTTTGGGCGCTGCCAGGAGTGGGTAATATAGTTGGCTCCTGGAGGACAGGGCTTGCCAGGTGTTGTGCCATCATGGTAAGGTGGCATGCAGTGTGAGGAGTGCTGATGTCTTCATCAAGCACACACCACCTTGCCAGGCCTGGGACCTCTAGAGGAGTAAGACAAGGCTGGCCTGGCCAGGGCATGAGGAAAGACCAAAGGGATTCCTAGGGATGGGGCCAGGTTCCTCAAGGGCCCCCAAATCTGAGTCATCCCAACAAGACAAAACATATTTCTCCCCATTCTTTCTTTACATTTTTATTAGGTTTTATAAAGTCAGCAAAGACGTCATGCTTATTCTGGCAAATTGCCACCACTTGGAGCAGTGATGCTCTCTTTCTGTCCCATCCCCATGATCCCCATGGCCCTGGGCATGGGGCCATGGAAACTGGTCATGGGTTCTGAAGCTAGATGAACAGTGGACAGGCTGGGGAAATGATGTGCTTGTGGCAAATAGTCATTCCGGATAGCTGCTTTGTCAGAAGGCAACCTTGTCCTAGTCTGAAAATATGAACCTCAGGCAGGAAGATTTCCCCCATGGGCCCTGCATTGCTTGTAAGAGAAAGTACAGGCCTGGGCCTACGAAGTCCTGTCTCATGCCAGAGGTGGTGTCTGAAGCAGTAATAGGCACCCTCTCCAGTAGCTCAGCTTTCCACCTGTACCTTTCTGCTGCCTTTCCTAGATAGCCCCACATTGCTACCTCTGGCTTCCATCTGGGAGGGACAGGGTCACAGACAGGGAGGGGGGCTTTGGCTAGAGATGGACAGAGAGGACTTGTGGTTGACTAGAGAGGCTATTTGAGCTGGGCAAGGTGTAGACTGGAGCTGTGGCAGAGTAGGAACTGACCAGCAAAGGTGTTAGACACTCATGAAGACATAGGAAAACAATGTCTCAGGGAGCGAGTGGCAGGACCGATAGCCTGAGAGAGAGCCAAACTTGAGTGCCAGGTGGTTCTATGGCCAGATCTGAGGCTTCTCTGGGCGCGCTCTTCATCCTCAATCTGGGCTGTATCTGGCACTCAGGACCCTTTTTAACATGCCTTTATCACCCCTCACCTCCTTCCTAACCCACATAGGCATCCCCTTCCCAGAGCAGGCACCAGAGGATTGGCACAGGCCTTCTAAGGGCCAGGGCAAGTGGTCAGCTTGGTACTCATGTCTACGTCAGTCTCTACCCCAAAGTTTTAGTCCAGAAAGGGGGGCTGCAGTGGGGTGCAGGCCTTGTGGGGAGGACTAGGCTGGGTTGGCCTGGACAGAGGACCTGCAGAGGGGGAAGAATGATCTGCCCTGCCCCACAGGCTGAAGAGGAGCTCATCAAAGCCCAGAAGGTATTTGAGGAGATGAATGTGGACCTGCAGGAGGAGTTGCCCTCTCTGTGGAACAGGTGAGGACGGGAGAAGGTTCCAGGCAGTCTTCATAACTGGTAAGAGGCAGGTCCAGAGTGTCTGTCTGCTGATCTGTGTGCCTGTAGGACCCTGTGCCCCTCAGCGACTATGGGTCTTGGGGTATCTTCGTGTAAGAGTAGGTGTGTGAGTGAGCATTCCCACAGAGCCAAGGTGCCTCTGAGTTGCCTTCATGGCTCCCAGAGGTGGGTCTGGGTTGAATGGTTCCTGTGTTCACCTTGCCCTTCTTTTTCCTGCAGCCGAGTGGGTTTCTATGTCAACACATTTCAGAGCATTGCAGGTCTGGAGGAAAACTTCCACAAGGAGATGAGTAAGGTAGGCCCTGGTGGTAACACCTCCAGGCCACATCAATTCTGGCCCACGGTCTAGAGGCAGAAGGTGTGGGAGCTTGGGTGGATGCCACTTGCTTTGGGAGCTGCCCTTTCCCCTTGAGGTTTAGCACATGCTTCTGACCGGTTTCCCGCAGGGCCCTTGAGCAGCCCACATCCACAGAGTGCCTGGCCATGGATCGGCCCCTCCCAGCCCTCCTCTCTGGGCTGATGGTGGGAAGGTGGGGCCAGCCCCTTCCTGATGGAGAATTGTCTTCTCAGGATGCTCAAGGCAGAAACCCATGGCTGTTTCCCATTTTGTTCTGAGTGAATTAGGATTTTCCTCAATTTTCAATTGTTTTCACATGTTGCTTAAGATGTTGCTACAGGCCTACTGTTTCTGCCAGGACTTGCTATTAGAAGGGCTTGGATAGCTTACATTCCCATATTTTAACTTGAATGCGAAGGAGGTGCTTGCATTGGAGACATCCTGTGTTGACAGCTCTGTGTCTCTGGCCAGAGGCATGAAATGATGACCAGATTACAACCCTCAGGGCAGGAGGAAGAATTGCCAGACAGGGTCTCTCCCAACCTACCACCCTGTGGGTTTCCTGTCTTGTAGGCCCTCCCTTTTCTTTCTTACCTTTCAGTTAACTTATAGATAAGTTAACAAACTAACAAAATATGTTGTGGGAAGCAAATACTTATGTAGTTAGTCCATGGCATATATGTCAAAAAGCAGCATTTATTAAGGAGGAAAAAGTTAAGCTCTGAGTTTCTTACTGGCCAGATTATAGTAATGAGCATGGGACAAACCCTCCCTCCTCTCTTGGCTGAAACTGCTGGCATTTGTGGTATAGCCTGAAAGCATTTTTATTAAACAACAATTAATCTTTGAAAAATATTTTTCTTTTTAATTTAAACATAGTATAAGCTTTGAGTGAACATTTTAGAAAATTAATACAAATTAAAAAAAAGAGAAAAGTTAGTCCCTCAAAAAACAGTAGTTGCCATAAGCAGTGCCTACTTTGTCATGTGTTTCTCTGCTGGTTTGTGGGTTTGGGGCAATCTTTCAAATTCTGATTGATGGGAAGGAGGAGTTTGGTCCTTTTGGGGGAAGGGACCAAGGGAGGACCTAATGCGTCTGAAGCCAGAGTGTTCTTGGGGATGTGTGGCAGTTGGTGGTCCCATGGACCCCTCCACCTCCTGCTGTCACTCCCTGCAGCTCAACCAGAACCTCAACGATGTGCTGGTCAGCTTGGAGAAGCAGCACGGGAGCAACACCTTCACGGTCAAGGCCCAGCCCAGGTGGGTGGGCATGGGGCGAGTGTGGTTGGGGTGCATGCTGCGTGGAACCAGGCTGAGCAGGCCTTGTTCCTGAGTGGGAAGGCTCTGGGAGTCTGGGACTTTCTGGCTGATCTGCCTGTGCTCAGAGAAGGAGGTTAGAACAACCATTGCCTTAGTACATCCCTTGTCCTTGGTTGTTGTCGATCATGGAAGGGCCTTCCCTTGAGTCATCTCTCTATACATCACCCGGGCTGGGGGCCCCACATCTTTCCTGGTGGAACAGGAACAGTAAAGGTGGGATAGAAATTTCTGCTCAGCTTTACAGGTGGAAAGTGTTAACAGATGTGGAAACTTCTGGAAGAGTAAGCTGTCATTTCAAAACAGAGGCAAGACATTGCCTCTCTCCTGGCTACTTGGAAAGGCCAGAACCTGTGATGGTGGTGTTCTCATCTGTAAAGGTTCCTTTGGTCCTGTCGAGCAAGCCCATCCCAGTCCCAGAGATCCCTGTTTCCTGACGGGTCTCCCCAAATATGGGGTGGGAGATGCCTGCCCCTTTTTGGCTGTGGCTCCTGGGGAATGGTAGGCTCTGCGATTTCCCTTCCTTTCTGGTCATGGTCTGAGTGCATACCCATGTGTACATTCCCATGTCTGTGTCCATGCTGCACTGGTGTGTGCTGCTGACCGACCTAGCCTTCCTCACCTGTAAACCAGGTCGCTGTGTCCACCTCTCAGGACATTTGGAGCTCTTGTCAAGGACTGAGAAAGCATTCAATGGCTGCTACTGGCCCCTTTAAAATGACCATATTTTTGATTGAGGGAGGAACCCTCAGAATTCCCCTTAGATGACAGAATGCTAGGGAATGAGTGGTTAGGGGCAGTGCTAATGAAGTGCTGCCCCACCATCTGGGTAGTAACAGTGGCTTTGTACAGCTTCAGTGTCCAGGGCACTGGGGAGCTGCTAGGAAGCTTGAGCTTGTCTGTGGGCATCTTTCTTGGTCCAGGTCCCCTGGGAAAGCATTTAGTATCTGAGAGAAGTGGGATCTCCTGACCACAGTGCAGGGGCTTTCTGCTGGTCATATAGCCAGCTCACACTTGGCTTTCTCCTCCCATATCATCCCATATTGGCTGTAATCACCACCCCTTCCGTGGTACAGCTCACAGAACCTTCTTCAGGTGGATGGAGATCATAAGTCCCTCCCTCCCTCCTCCTGACTTGTCAGCCCACCTAAGGGCACTGATTGGCTTGGTTGTGTCTGCCTGTTACCTGGGACTTGAGGACCGGACCTTCAGTGGCTGGGAAGGCTTTTCTCCCTTTACCCCCTCCAAACACTCTGCACCCACTATTTCCCCAAATGAAGACCTCCACATGCTGTCATCCACAGAAAGAAAATTAAACTGTTCTCCAGGCTGTGCAGGAAGAAGAGCAGGTACTGCAGTGCGTGCTGCATTGTGGTGACCTGGCCAGCCCCTGTGCATGCTCCGGGCCTGGCTCCAAGGTGCAACTAACCTGCAAGCACTTTGTGTGTAAGGCTGCGCTGGGCAGGGCTGAGCCAGAGGGCGGCCAGTAGGGCCACAGTGCCAGGGCTGAGCTGTGTGTGGAGTGTGTTGCAGGGGGCTGCTGGTGGGAAATGAGGCAGCAGGAGCTCAGTTAAGCAACTAATTCAAGTGAAACACCACCTAATGCCGGCAAGTAGGCAGACTGAGACTAGGAGTGGTGCTGACAGGTGTGCAGTGGAATGAGGAAGGAGGCTGGGAAAGGCCAGGAGGAAAGGACTCCAGTGGCATTGTTTTAAAACATTGTACGTGTTGAAGTTGTATGAGCATGTTTATACACACATACGTACATGCATTCCCATGAAACACAGTCATAGAACAGACAGGAGCACAGGCCTCCCAAGGGTCAGGCCCTTTCATTCCACACCTACCGTGCTGCATGGTGCCTGGTAGTTGCATGTGGCTGCTGAGAAATGTGAGTAATGTGACTGAGGAGCTGAGAATGCCATTTCATTTCAGTGCAAACAGCCAGCTTTGACCAGTGGCTACTATACTGAGTAGTCCTGTTTGAGAGCTTCTTTGTGCCGGTCTATATAGCTTGTCCTCTCTGCTGCCTTCACACAAAGTATCATCATACCTTTGTTTTTGGTACTGAGCAGTGTGGCCTAAGGAGGACTTGTCTATTTGCTCCTAACTGCTGCTGCTCCACTGCAGAAGGCACCAGGCAGTGATGTTTTATCAGGGGAAGGGGTGAGGTGCAGGAGGTGGAGGTAGAGTCCTGAGCTGTGGGAGCAGGAGTGGGGACATGAGGGCTCCATGTGGGAGCGGGGAAGGTTGGTGGAAATAGCTCTGATATAGATCGTGCTGGAGTGCTGACTGGTCCAGAGCATGCATGGTGTGTGAGGTGCGTGATAGAACACACTATCTGCCGGGGTGGCTGGCTCTGGTGCCACCCATGGACTCTGTGACCTTTGGAGCTCATGCCCCCAGATCTAAGCTCTGTGTCTGTCATGTGCTTGTCACCATCTCCAGGGCAGGGCCTTCCTGTGGATATGTGGCGTTTCGTCCTATATCCCTTTTTTTTCCTTGTACTTATATACACAAACACACACACAGTTTCACATGTAGACACCTGGGCACACTATCAAAATGCTTGTGTATGTACAACTCCATAAATGGATGCACAAATCACATACCCATACATATACATACAACCTCATACATGAGCATGTTTACATTTCTGGATGTGCCTGTACACATGGGTACATGCAGAATTCGTACATGCACACACTCAGTAGATGTGTACACACGTAATTTCACATGTCCATATGCTGTGCCATGTTTCACAGACTCCCGCGGCACACTAGCATATATAGCTGTCCATGCCCATGTATGTACATATCTGCACCTCTCTCAACGAGGACGTTCTCTCTACTTACCTTGACAGTGACAATGCCCTTGTCAAAGAGAACAAGAGCCCTCCGTCCCCACCAGATGGCTCCCCTGCTGCCACTCCTGAGATCAGAGTGAACCACGAGCCAGAGCTGGCTGGTGAGGCTGCGCCTGGGGCCACATTTCCCAAGTCCCCATCTCAGGTATGATGTCTTGGCATCCTGTTCCCTGCTCTTTCAGGATGGTGTGTCTCTGCAGCCTTGGCTTCCTTCCTGGGCGTGACTTCCTCCCTTTCAGTGCTCTGTCCCAGTGCCGGCCTAAGCAAATTTGGACCAAAAGGCTTTTGCTCAGGCCGGGCTCCCCTGGGAATTGTGCTGAAATCACAGGCAGAACCTACCTCAGGGCCCTATTCATTTTTGGGGGCCTCTCAGAGTAGTCCGTCTGGGACCTCACACCACCCTCCTGTGACCTTACGCTGTCTACTCTAGTCTCTGACAACTTGACTCTGTCTTCTTCTCCTTCCTAATGGAGGCTCTGCGTCCTCAGGAGCATCCAGAATTGCTGGAGGTGGCTGCCTTTCCTGCTTCTTCACCTTTCTTTTGCAGGAGCTGAGGACTGTCATTTTTTGAGGGACAGAAAGAACTCGGGGCAGGGTTGGGAGGTGTCTGTAGGAGGTGTGGTAGGCAGGCCCTGGGTTTCTGGACTGCTCTCTCCAGAGAACTCTTCTCCTCCAATTAACATTTTTCTTTTCGGGATTTCTGCTCAGAGGAGACCCTGTGCAGCCTAATGTGAGCCCAGGTGGGTGTTTTTTTTATCCATGGGCAGCAGCTCTTCCAGCTGTGTTGCTGCTTGTTTATAGCTGATTGTGGTATAGAGCTGGTCAGAACAAGAGAGCTCACCCATGGCTGACAGCTCCTCTGTGGACACTGGGTTGGCATTCTGAGTGTCATCACTCATCAGGCACACACTGCTCTCATCTGCATCCTGCAGACAAGAAACCCAAGCCTCGTGGGTGCTGCGAGGTCTCCCTGGGCCCACAGATGACTGAACCCAATCTGCCCCGAGGAGATGAAGAAAGAATGTCCAGGTCATCCAAGACTCAGAGGGAGGGACAGTCTGCAGGAAGCATGGAAGGGCCGGAGGGCTGTGCCTGGGCTGTGCCTCAACTGCTGGATTTTCCTAGGACTCATTGGGGGGAGCCAAGACCCTCCCACTGTGTGCAGTAGCCTGGGCTGGCTGCCACCCTACCTTGCCTGCCCCCTCTCCTTCTCTGCCTTCTCTCCCCTCACTTCCCTCTTCCCCACCCGCCTTTTCCCTCCCCAGCTCCCCCCTTTACTTCCTGTTGTTTCCAGGCCTCCTGCCTCATCTCCTTTGGGGTGGTGCTGTGGTCCTCGTGTCTGGTTTCTTCAGCTACCTGGATGGGTCTGTGGCCTGAGTGTGACTAACCATGGTCTTTGTCTGTCTGTCTGTCTGTCTATCTGTCCCCCTATGTCAACTCCTTCATTTCACTGTGTTTCCCTGTGTCACCCTTAATGTGCTAACAACCCACAGCTCCGGAAAGGCCCACCAGTCCCTCCTCCTCCCAAACATACTCCATCCAAGGAGGTCAAGCCAGAGGAGATCCTCAGCCTGTTTGACAGCACGTTTGTCCCCGAGATCAGCGTGACCACCCCTTCCCAGGTCAGCCGCAGGTGCTGCGGCCCAGCCTTCCTCTTGCACGCTCAGGACGTGCACGGCCTGATGCTCCATTTCATGCCTGTGCCTGCCTCAAGGAGAGGGACCCTGGTAGTGATGACCCCAATTCTGTCTTGTTCTCACCTTCCATGCCTGTCTCTCAGCTGTCCCTCCATCCAGCCATTTGGAGCATGTTCTGTGGCAGACTCCGCGGTGAGAGGTGCCTGCCCTCTCTCTCATAGGATCAGGCCCACCATGGGCTTCTAGTGTGACACAGAGAGCACAGGAGGGATATAGGAGGGGAAGGAGTGGGGTTACAGAACACAGACCCACCGTGGGCTCCTAGTATGACACAGAACATGAGAGGAGTGTGGGAGAAGAAGGAATGGAGTTACAGGAGACAGACCTGCCATGGGCTTCTAGTGTGACAGAGTATGGGGCAGGATGTAGGAGGGGCAGAAGTGGGGTCACAGGAGACAGACTGACCATGGGCTCCTAGTGTGACAGAGAGCATGGGAGGGCTGTGGGAGGGGCAGGAGTAGAGTCACAGGAGACAGGCCCACAGGGGTTCCTAGTGTGACAGAGAGCATGGGAGGGCTGTGGGAGGGGCAGGAGTAGAGTCACAGAAGACAGGCCCACAGGGGTTCCTAGTGTGACAGAGAGCATGGGAGGGATGTGAGAGGGACGGGAGTCGCATGTCCAGGGAAGATTCCTGGGACAGTTGAAGGGGAACAGAGAGCTTTAGGCAGAGACAAGAGCCTGTGTAGGGTGAGAGGCAAGGGTTCAGAAGTTACTGTCACTCCGGTGGCTGAGCAAGGTACTGTTGTAGTGAGAGACTGTGCAGGACTGTGGGGGAGACCTAGATGTCTGAACAGAGGCTCTGGGCCTCAGCTTCCAGAGCTGCTGACAGATCTTAGCTGGTGGCACTGATTGGGCTGCAGAGCAGAGCTGCCAATTTTAAATGCCTCTGGAGGGGGCACAGCTTAGCCAGCCTTGCCCAAGTTGATGCTAGACCATGTCTTTAGGCCTCTGTGTCTTAATGGGTGAAGCAGAGCTCTCTCTAGGTCTCTGACTTCTATGGAGCTTGGATGTAGGGCCTGAGTGTCGGGTAGTGAGGTCCCTGCCTGGACTAAGCTCTGGGGATCTAAATAGGTTTCCCACCCTCCTCACCCCGTCAGTCAGTTTTATGGGAGGACTACTACAGGGAGGGGAAGGGAGTGCTGGTGGCCAAGTCTTCTAGTCCTGTTGATCCAAAGACCTGCCTCTCTGGTGCTTCGAATCTATCAGTGACTGTGGGAGAAAGACAGGCAATCTCCTGTGCAATTTACAGTGCTGAAAACCCACTGAAAGGTCAGCTGTGAGTGACCTTGGACTCATAAGGTGGCAAGTTGTTGGCAGGTGGAGTTGCCATCAGGGCTGCTTGGTGTGTCCCAGACTCCTCCCCTTCTCTAACTTGTCCCTTAGCCATCCTGCCTCTGCTTCCTGGGGCCAGAGAGTATGCAGAAGGGAGGAGAGGGGTTATGCCTTCCGGGTGGAGGTCCTTGTATCCATTTAATGGGAAGAAATCTGAGGCCAGGCATGCACCCACATTGCATGCCCCCCTGGTTTGTTCCCTCCCACCTCTCTCAGGGGCCTGGGTCTCTGCCCCCTCATAGGGTGCTGTGCATGGGGTTGGAGCTTCCCCTCCATGGGCAGCACTGCTCACGGGGCCTCACCTTGTGGTGGTGAGCAGCCTGCATCTATGCATGGAAGAAGAATGTCCTTGGCAGCATGAGGGACTGGTAGTCTGGGCTGAAGCACTCCTCATGGGAAGTATAGAGAGTGAGGGGCAGGGGCAGTGAGTGAACTGAGAAAGAGGCAGCCTACTCCTGTACTGAGACTTCCTGAATGCATTTGTCTTCAGATAGCTGGGTGAGCTAGGCTGGAGAAGGGCTTGAGGTCTGAGCCTTCCCGGCTCAGGAAATGATTCCTGGGGTGCTAGGCTTGACCTCATGTGGCACCTGACCAGGTCTCCCTGAGCTTTCTGGGTCAGCAGGCTGTGCTTTCAGAACTGAGCCTCTCCACCCCATCTCAGCCCTTTAGGGGGAAACCATGGAGTTGGTGGGGCCACCCTGTGGTGTGGGGCTCAGGCTGAAAGGCCTCTACAGTGCTCTTCCTTAAATCTGTGCCCCTCCTAACCCTACAGAGGGCAGGCAGAAGACACAGGTTGGTACTTTGTATCTGCTCTACTGGACCTTTCTAGTAGAGTACCCTTTAGTTCCTAAGGAGAAGACCCCGTGAGGCAAGGTTGAGGACTGAGATTAAGCAGTCTGGGGAAGTACTTTGTGCTGTTGCTCAACCACGGCTGTCACCCAAGCCCTAGACAGGACCTGTCCCTTTCCCCAAGTGAAGACTCAGGATGTTCAGGCTCATCTCACAGAATTTCTCCAAATGTAGCGAGGCCACTGTGTCACATTTCTGGGACTGCTTGCTAGCCACCAGGAGGTTGTAGGTAGGGCTAGTTGGAGGTTGCCCGCTGGTTTGATGATAAATACTAAGCACTTTTGAAGCCCTCTGGCATTTGGGAGCCACACATTGAAGATGGACTGCTTATGCCAGTGCCCTCACTCAGCCCTTACTCATTTTTGTAGCTGACCTGAGGGTATCCTTTCTGCACGAGGTGGTGGATCCCCTATCCTGGGGACTCCCCCAGCCAGCCTACTGTAACTGCCCAGGGCTGCTTCCTAGGAGTAGCGGCAGGGGAGCAGCTTTAAGGCACAGTCAGGTGGACCCCACCACCCTGTCCAGAGGACTTGGCATTGGGCCTGGTGGGTGACCCAGAGGCCTGGAGTGGTGTCTGCAGAGGGCTGCTGGTGGGTCACTACTAGGCTAGGGACCTGTGAAAACCCTAAGGTTGGCTGCAGTGCTTCTGTGTGTATCCATGCATCTGTGCATGCTTCAGGCCTTAGACATGTGCTCATATGCCTCTGTCTCGTGCACCCAACATCTGTTACTAATTGCTTTCTTCTGCTACTGCTGCTGCCAAGTTTGAGGCCCCTGGGCCCTTCCCAGAGCAGGCCAGCCTGCTGGACCTGGACTTCGACTCCCTCCCACCTGTGGCGAGCCCTGTGAAAGCACCCACACCCTCTGGTCAGGTTGGTGAGGCTCTAGTCTGAATGCCAACCATCTAGGTCCTGGATGTAGGGTTTTGGGGGTCACCAGGTTCCCTATCTCCAGCTGCCTCAGCTTTCTTGACTCTGCTCCTGTCCTAACCATGGAGCAGGGAGGCGTGGAGGCCTGGAGCCAGGCTGGGGGGGCATCAGCAATGCGGGGTAGGGGTTGTGGTGGTGTTAGTACTTTGCTTTCTCTTGTGGGCCTCATGTAGCACTTCTCACACGAGCTTTGCAGGCTCTTGGGAGGTATCCAGGACTGGGTCATCTGACCCTAGCCTGACTGCGCCGTGCCTGCTGGCATGGAGAGCACAAGGGTGGGTGAGAAGTTGTGGAGACCGCTAACTTGCCTCAGTTTGTCCCTAACCTTTGTGCTACTTTGTCCTCCCCACACTGCTTCACTCAGCCAATCCCGTGGGATCTCTGGGAGGTAAGACTGTGTCTGTGCAGGGTCCACAGCTCCCTGCAGGGGCATGAGTTCACTCCTCATATGGGGAGTGTGTGCCCTCGGTGTGAAAGCATGTGTTCACACTTGCAATCATGGCAGCCTTCCATCAGCTGCTCCACTGCCCAGTCCCCATACAGATTCCTGGCCCTCAGCAGATCTGTGAGCAGGTGCTGTGACCTAGCTTGATGGAGGCCTGTGACAATGCTCTCACTCAGAGGGGTTGGGGAGGGCCAAGCCCATGAGGCGATCAGGGCTGTAGGTCTGTCAAGTATGTCACACAGGGCTGAGGAGGGAGAGATTGAGGTAGAGGAAGTAAGTAAGGCCTGGTACCCTCAGGAACAGGCCTGGCCAGTGGATGCAGGGCAGCACCATCATCTGACAGCACACAATGGGTGAGGCCTGGGTGATGTCTGTGGTCTTCTATGTGCATGCCGGCCAGCTATTTGGCTTGCTCAGCTACCTTCTAAAATATGCTCTCCTAGGCTTCTGGCATGGGAACCTGCAGCCATGACCCTGGATACTGAGAACCAGGCATGACTGCAGGTGACAGAGGTGTGCTCTAGTCAGTCAGAGAGAGCTCACCTGGTTGCTACAATGTTCGTGTGTCAAGAGCCGGATCCTTGGATATTGGCAGGAGCAGGAAAGCCTCCAAATCTCAGAGACTGGAAATGGGAATATTTAGGAGGGCACCCCAACACACTAGTGTTTCATAGAAGAGTGAGGAGAGAGCCTTGCCAAGCTGGCAGGAAGTAGACCTCAGCAAGGAAGGCCTGGTCAAGCTGGCAGGATATGGGCCTCAGTGGGGCTGACTGCAACAGTCATGCCTGTGTCCCTCTCTGCCCTGCAATGGTAGGAATGAAGAGCAGTCACACCTGCTTAGCAGGGTTCATTGGCCCTGTGAGTCCCCCCTCTGGTAGGACTGGGTCATTCATGACTTGATTGTCTTCTCTATCTTGTGCCCTTACCCAACACTTCCCTTGGCCTCCCCTGCTCCTTCCTGTTCTCCCCTTGTGGCCTCCACCAGCCCACAGAGAGTCCTGCTGACAGTGGGCCTTCTGGGGAGCCCAGCATGGCCGAGGGTACCTTCGCTGTGTCCTGGCCCAGCCAGACAGCCGAGTTGGACCCTGCTCAAGTAAGTGCTCAGCCAGCCCTCTGGCCTGCTCTTGGTCACTGAGGGTGTATCATGGAGAGGATGGGCACAGGATGGACAGAATCACTGTGGGCCTAAGGGCAAGGACCTGGTCTTGTGCTGAGGCTCCAAGAGGACTGGCTCCTCAAACCACTGACCTCAAGTTCTGGGCAGATGTCTGCACAGTCCTCCAGGAAATAGCTCTGTGTCAGCCTCTCCCACCTCCACCCCACATAGGGAGTGTTTAGAACACTTGCTGATTTATCCCAAGCTTCCAGAATGTCCTCATTTAAGCATCCCAAAAGCCAGATGGAGGAGGCGGCCACCAGGAAGGTTGAGGTCCTGGAGCTTGGGAGTGAGTGAGAGTGAATACCTATCTTTGCCAGCCTGACTTTGCAGACTGATACTGTCCCATGATCTTCCTAGGGCCTCTGCCCCATCCTTTATCACACTCTCCTTGGGCCTGGAGACAGGCTGGACTTACAGGCAGAGTTATTATGTTAAGGCCAGGACAGCCACACATGGTGGCTGTTCCTGAGAGTGTCAGGGCAAAGGAAGGCAAAGTGGGCACAAAGAGGCTGGGACTTGTAAAGTCTTGGCCTTTGAAGCCAGGGCCTGCTGAGGTTGCTGAAGATGGAATCTGGGACCTGCCTGCACCCATCTTCACAGCACACCATGTATCAGCCCACCAGCACCTCTCTTTACCTGTGGCTGGGCTTGAACCCTCCCCCCGGGGTTTCCTGCATTGAATGGCCCCTGCTCCCAGCCAAAGCCAGTGTTCTCCTGTGGCCTCCCCCCCATACTCTGATTGTAGTTTGCTATGTTTGACCTGTGACCATTATGTTGCAGCCAGGGGAGGCCTCAGAGGTAGCCGGAGGGACTGAACTTGTGACTGGAACCCAAGAGCCTGGGGAGACGGCAGCCAGTGAAGCAGCCTCTGTAAGACTCCAGGGGTGAAGGTTCTGTCTGTCTGCCAGTGCCTGCTTGTGTTTCCTTTGCCCCTAGCCTCATGCTGACCCAATTTACAGCCTGTCCTGGGTCACAGAGGCAGGCCAGTGTGGTATCAGGTACAGACCCTCCTGCTTCCCCTCTTTGCACCACTCTTCAAACCTGTAACATTTCTGTCTTCAGAACTCCCTTCCAGCTGTTGTGGTAGAAACCTTCTCAGCAACTGTGAATGGTGCCGTGGAGGGTGGCAGTGGGGCCGGACGCCTGGACCTGCCCCCGGGATTCATGTTCAAGGTGAGCAGAGGGTGGGTCCCCAGTGATGGTGCCTGTTCCAGGCCCCGAGAGGGATCGTTTGCTTTTTACAGTGTGACCAGCAGACCCTGAGCTGAGGGAGTGGTATCGTTGACCAGGCATAGGCTTCTCACAGATGGATGGCCATGAGCCCTGGCCCTGTGGTTGCTGATCCCCTCTTTGCAGCCCCACATCCAAGTACACCTGTCTGGAGGTGACCCAACGAGCTTTGAGGCAGGAATGAGCTTGAAGTCCTTGTCCCTTGGTATACACGCTCCCCCAACCTCTTACAGGTGCAGGCTCAGCATGACTACACAGCCACAGACACGGATGAGCTTCAGTTGAAGGCGGGTGATGTGGTGCTGGTCATCCCGTTCCAGAACCCTGAGGAGCAGGTGAGGCCCAACGCAGCAGGCCTGGGAGCAGAGTCCACTGCGTGCACTGTGGCTGTGGTGGCAGAATGGGCCAGCAGGGGGCAGCAAAACCAGCCTGTAAGAGCTGGGCAGCCGCAGGCACTTCCCCGGCTCTGCATCTTGTGTCTGCTTTTGCACTTCTGCCATCTTAACTCTTACTCCCTTTGCCCCTTTTTCTTTTTCCTTCTCCATGGTCTGCCTCCCCCATGTAGTCACAGTTGCCCTCTTCCTGCCTCCCTTTACATCAGCCTCTGGATTGCCTTCTTTTCTTTGTCCTGGTGCCTCCTCCTTTGGGCCCTGTCTGCCTTCTCCTGTCTTTATCCTCTTCTCTCCTCCCAACCTTATTTTGTCCTCCCCAGGACAGTTAATGCCCGCAAGGTCCCCTCCTTTGTCCGCACGGCTCCATGTAGTTCCCTGCCAATGAGGGCGGGCCCCTGCTGCCTGGCCTTAGATTCCCCTCCTTTGCCCCCCATGAGATTCCCAGATGCTTTCTAGATCCTTCTGCTATAATTTTTTCTCCTTCATCAGTCTTGTCAGTTGTTCCGAGAACGTTTAGATGGCAAAGAGATGACAGGGCCTACCCCTCCCAGGTTCGGGTATGATGCTTCTGTTTATGGAGCTGCAGGCCTTAACATAAGTCTCATTGTTCTAAAGTGAGCCTGTGGTGTTTATGTTTGTGGGATGTGTTGGTGGTTGGGTGATGGCATGATGATATCAAATTACCACCCAATTGAATTCCCTAATCATGTATAGTGGTCCTAGTGGGCTTTTCCTGCTTTCAGAGAATCTAATCAGCCATCAAGATATTAATATGAATTAGTTGTCAGTGAGGATAGTTCTAGCCTGGTTTAGATTGTGGGCAATCTGAGTGAAGGGTGCTATGTGAGATTTGAGGGCCAGAGGAGGAGGGCAGGGAGCTCTGATGGCCCCATGGTAAGAAGGTACACTGCAATCCCAAAGGCACAAGGTTCAAAACCACCAGAAGCTCCATGGGAGAAGAATGGGGAGGGGGGGAGGCCAGAGTAACAAGGATTTCCCTTAACCAATTATTAAATCATTCATTTCTCCTAAATCCATAGATCTCCACTGATGTCTCTAGTGGGTGGGGTTTCAAGAAGCAGAATCCTGGCCTCCAGTTTCCATTAGGAGCTGTCCAGGTGGATAGAAGGATCAGACTGGATTTAACTAGGGTCTGTGATTAGGCAGATAATGATGCCCAGCTGAATGACAAAGACTCATGTAGCTCCCAGGCCTGGCCAGGCCAGCCCCATGAGGCACAAGCCCAACATGTTTGTGAGCAGCACCAACTGGCCACAACAGATGCTTATGGCTGCTGCCTTTCCAGAAGTCAGGATTGGGCATGAGACACCAACGAGGATCAGTCTTGAAGCCAAGGCCACATTGGTGAAGACCTTGGTGTGACAGCCTTGGGAAACTCTGGGCATTTTTAACTGACCAGAGCTCACTAAGATTTTCTGGTTTTGTTGGTGGAAACTCTCAAAGGACATCTGATCTTGTTTTCAGGGGCTTGTTGTCTGCATACCAGATGTAGGGCAACTGGGTTTGGGCCAAGGTGCATGTCAGGGCACTGCCTGGAAGAACCCTTCTTCAGGTGGCTTCAAAGGCCTGGAGGAGGTGAACAGGCAGTATGGATGGAGCTGTCCCCCAGCAGATCTCCAGTGAGGTGCATCCCTGGTGGGGTTAGGTGGCCCTTTTGCCTGCCCCCTTGCCCATCCCCATCACTGGGATGACCAGGGTGCTTGTTCTCCTGCAGGATGAAGGCTGGCTCATGGGTGTCAAGGAGAGTGACTGGAATCAGCACAAAGAGCTGGAGAAGTGTCAGGGCGTCTTCCCTGAGAACTTCACCGAACGTGTCCAGTGAAGCAGCCTGTGCACTCAGGGCATGCACAGATCTACTTTTCCCTGAAAATGTGTGGTTTTTTTTTGTTTTTGTTTTTTGTTTTTCATTTTTGTTTTTAAACTTTGGAAAACAAAGACTCTTGAGGAAGCCGAAGCTGGGAAGTGCTGTCCTGAAGGCTGTTTCCCAAAACCCTGTGGCCACCTGGTAGAGCTCTCCAGTGCTCTTGATGCTGCTGTGCCCTGTCCTTGATGAGCTCCTTGAACCACTGCTGGGCTGTTGCCTGCACATCCACCCAGCTGGGTGCTGGGTGTGTGGGGCAGGGCCTGGGGGCTCATGGAGCTGGCCTCTGAGCTGTCCTGCTTGCTGCAGCTTTGGCCGCACCCCTGAGTGCAGGTCCGTCCTGACAGCTGCTGTGGGGCCTGATCTGCCCAGGGACTGTGGGGCTTAACATCAGCCCGCCTGGCTCTGTCCTGCAGATGTCCGTGTGCTGTTTGAAATAAATCTTAGTGTTCAAAAGAATATGAAACAAACAAGCAAAAACCTTACAAAAACATTCAGAGAGTGTCTGCTTATCTTTATTCTCCTTCACCTTCTGTCAGCAGGGGCAAATGGAGAGTGATTTTTATACTGCAACAATTTGAGACAAAGGCAATGACACAGGCTGAGCGTGCAAGTTTGCTGGAATGAGGGGACACCAGTTCAGTAGGACCTCCTTACAGGGATGAAGAGCTCAAGGCTGACCTGAGAGGAAGTCCACTGATGTAAAGTGGCAAGAGGACTTGAAAAAGAGAAGGTGGCAGAGCTGGTTGGCTGCATTAGAACCACTTTCCTTTGAGTGTGTCTCTGTCCTGTCTGACAGTAGGCTATACCCCTGTCCCCTAACTTCTTGCTGGTGGCTGGTTGGAAAGGCAGTACACAGGGGAAGACAAGTGGCTTGAAGAGCAAGCTGTGCCAAGAACTTACTGGGCACTGCCCTAGGTAAGGGCTTTGGAAGACAGAACACAGGTCTTCTATTTCACAGATGGGGTGAGGACTTCCCTGATACAGTTCTGTGTAGTATGTGGTCTACTGTGGTGGATTTTGGACCCAGTAGAGCAGTAAGACTGAGTATAAAGAGGTAGGGAAATGTAGGAGATACTGTTTACTTCATGGGAATTAGCTGTTTTCTTGATGTTGACAGGGCCAGTTCCCCTTTTTGGAGTTGGTAAAGGTAACTTTTTACATCATGCAGTGCCACTGCTTTGCTATTTTCTTTCTCCTCAGTGCAGTCAGCCACACAAGACTTCTTGGGGAAAGCATTGTTAAAATAAGGCATTTAGTAGCTGCACAGGAGTTACTTGTGCCATCAAACACCTTCTTCCTCCCTCCTGTGACTATTGGGGATGATTGGCCGCCAGCTTAGGGCTTCCTCCCTCCTCCACTACAGTTCTCTCTGGGCACTTTTCTCTCTCTCTAGACACCACTTCTGTGTTCATGAGCCCCAGACAACATCTTAAATTCCAGTGCAAATCTCCCCTCCCTAGGAAGTACTTGCTTCTAAAATTTAGTCAATCTCCTTCCCTGTTTTGCTTATTCCCTTCATTTGCTTCTCCCTGCCTGAGATGAGCCTCCTGTGGGCCACTCCCACATGTCGTTATCATTAACTTTACTGTCTCAGCTGAGAGATCTTCTGTTTGAACCTGGGTAACAGTTCTTGATGCTCCCTCAAAACTCTGAGCTTATGAGACAGAGACCACATTTTAATCTGTGGAATCTGACTGCCTATAAGAAACATAGTAAGTGAATGAATAACTAAATGATTAAGGGATATACCCAAACATGCAGGAGCATCTTCAGCCACACAAATCTGAATTCCTGAAGATCACATGTGATGGCAAAAATTCTGCAACAGGGGAGCATGGAAGTGTCAGATAAACATATAAGGTGAATATCCTTCTGCAAAATGGAGGAACAGATCCACGTGGCTTGTACTCCCTGGTCACACTCTGGCCTTCATCCCAAGCCCATTAGCTTCTTGTTAGGTAATGTCAAGTTGGAACTGGCTTATAGCTAACCCTTCAGCAGGTTTTCAGAGGCAGTAAATTACATAAGGAGATTGTTCATCTTTCTCCCACAGAGCAGCTGGTGGACTTGAACTGTGTACCTTTGCGTTGGCAATGTAATTTCTTATCACTATCCACAAGAAGGCAAATATATTTAAACTTCACAAATACATAGACACATTCATATTTACACAATCACATATTCACAATTCACACAATCACATGCACATGCTTGGGGCATGCACATATACAGTTATGTACTAGGGTGCACATTCATGCATGTGCACACACAAACACACAAGTATCCAGCCAAGATCCCTGCTTTTCTGACCCTTTCTGGAAGTCTTCATTCACCAGATGGTTTGAATTCTCAGGACCAACTTGACTCTCCTTAGAACTCTTTCCCCTTTTATTCAAATGTCACTCCATCTAGCACTGCCCCTTCTCTCCAGGCCTTGTTTGTTTCGGGCCTGTCAATAGACCGCATACCCACCCACAAAGATTGGTTCAGGAATGAGGACCTGACTCAACCCTAACCATTGGAACTGGGAACTTGTGGGAAGAAAGAGTGCTTGTTCTTCTGAAGTGTGCAGATGTATAACTGTAACAAGTACAAACCCACCCAAAGGCGAAGCTTAAACCCAGAGGGCATAGGAATAAGGCCATTACCCAAGAACTGGGCTGCACCCTCCAGTTCAAACCCCAGAGCATACCAACTGGGACTTGCAAGATTAAACTAATGTTGAATGACCCTTAACGACCCCTGCATAATGCCTTGTGTTGAGAGTGGGTGAGGACATTAGTTTGTGGATTCTTAAATTCCTAGGAAAGCTGGTCTTTAGGTCAGTGAGACCAAGAGAAGCAACACCAAACCAAAGATATGGAACCTGTAAGCTATCAAGTAATTTCTGTTCAAAGCATCCATGGGAGGGAAAGTAGAACTGCCCCAATTCCCAGAATAGCACAGAAATGATCAAGCACAGGAAGCAACAGCTGTAACTCTGTTTATCTCTGTTAGGGCTCCAAAACTATTCCACCTCCATTTCCCAGGAATAACTATGACACCTGACCTCCTCCATTATTTTGTAACAAGCAGCTGCCTATGATCCACCTCCACAATTTCCTTGTAAGGCAATATAAAACTCCACTCTAAGTAGCTGCTGGTCTCTATTTTACAGTCAGCCCGGCAGTTTCTCCTCAATAAACTTTCCTTCTTGGCTTGAACTAAGTTCTGTCCTTCCTCAGAGACCTTACACCCTGTAGAGTCTCCAAGGCTCTATTATTTTTTTTAGATATTATACAGCTTTTTAATCTTTTTTAAAAATTATTAAATTTTAGTAGGTTTAATGAACATTTACAGAGATTTTGGGTTCTCATTCATTCATTGTTGCACTGTTTTCTCTACCCTCCTCCCCAGTTTGTTCTTCCCCCCCCCAAATGTCTGTTTTAATTGTCCAATTGCCACAGTGCTTGTCAAAGCCAGTTCTGATTAATCTCCTTTGTCAG